AGTGGACTATTCCACTTTTTCCCTTTGAAATGCATTTTCTCACTTTGTTTTAGATGAGAAAATATGTTATAGAACATTACAATTCAAGAAAATAGTAAAGATCTGAGATAGAACATGTTACAAAGTCGAACATCACACAGAAAACTTTCAAAATAATCATAGTATCAATTTCTTTAATAGATTTTTTTAACTCCAAAATATTTTCAATATAGCATGTAACTTGAATACTTCTTAGATGTGCCTTTGGCAGTTATATGTATGGAGTAAAATATTTTTCCTAATAAAACTCTGGTTCATATCCAATTCACATGTCTTATCTATATATACATAATCATTCAATTGGTGTGACAATATTACTATAAATCCTCATTCAAAACCATCACCCAAAGGGAATATTGTTATGAGCACTTCTCTATGTTTTATTTTTAAACATTATTCTTAAGTCAAACCTATTTAACAATACAATATGTAGAAAACAATATATTAAATGTTACATGGGGTAAGACTGACTAAGTCATTATGGTGTGGTAAAAAATAATTATGTACAAAATCTGATATTCTTGTTTCAAATTTTGGCTCTTACCATTTACGTGACTGTATAACTTTGAGCAGGTTAATTAGCCTCTTAATTTTTATATAATGTCTACTGTAAGTAATGATTAGTAAAAAATAATTTGATCTTAGAAAGTGAAGCAATGAATAGCAAATGTGGAATATATACATATACAATTAAGCCTCAGACAAAGCTGGGACAAGATATCCCAAAGCTTTGCAACTGCTTTCCATTGGTTAGAAAGCTCAGATGTTGGTAAGGAACCTGGTGGCATGAAATCAGAATATCCTTCTATAATCTGTTGGATTGCAGAATGGGATTGTCATGGACAAAGAAAATTTCACAACTTCCCATTTTAACATGCAACCCCAAATACTCAGAATTAATTGCAATAACGTATAATTAATCCTTTTTCTATCTGATACGAGCTTTTCTGCATCTTCGGAAACATGAGTTCCTCAAATAAATAAGCAATGTTCTATCAAAGACATGGGCAATTTATGCACAATTGGCAGAAGTGATTATATAAGGAAACTATATAAAATTAGAAAACAAATTAGAAAATTTGAAAACAGATATTTCATAGTTATTATTTCCTTAGATTAGGTCAAAAATTAATTTAGATCACAGAAGCAAGATATACTATATGCCCTAACAAAGAATTATGTAATTTGTTCTGAAAATAACACTAAAGTATACATACAAATTTTTTAGAAATATAGGGAATAATTTTATGAGTGTTTATTTCTGTGCTATATTATTGGAAGTTTGGAAGAAGTGTGAAAAGGAATTTCACTTCAGTATTTTTTTATGTTTTGGTCTTCCTTTTTCCTTCCTTCTTTCTTTTTGAAATTATATTACTCTCTTTACTTAAAAAGTAGTTGATAGAAGTGGCATGAAAACTTAGTGGAAAAGAAAGGATAATTCATTACTAAGTTTGGGAGTAATTATTCTTTCTTTATAGGAATGTATAATATTAGATCTCTAGATTGCACCAAGTGGAAAAAAATGAAATTCTATATAGATTAAAAACCTGACCATGTAAAACAAAATCTTCAACACACTTGAAATTTATGTAGAAAAACACTTTCTGGTCTCTAGATAGGGGATAGTTCCTTTAAGAAGAGTGAGGAAGCACAAATTATAAAGGAAAATGTAGTCATTTAACTATATAAACATTCAAAATATTATGAAAGCAAAAATATGACAAAAACACAGTTAAAATATTTCCACTTCTAGCTGCAATAGAGTAATGAGGACTAAACTTGCTAGTTCACCATAAAAAAATAGGAAAATGAACAAAATACTGTATTTAAAATTGTTTTCCATTTGTACAGAGGCAGCACAAGACTGTCATGCCTCAGTAAAGGGAAACTAATGTGGATACCATTATCACTGCCTATCTTTCTGCTTGGAGCCAGCACATTCGGGACCACAGCTCAAGGAGTAAGAACCCAAGCAGAGGCTTGTGGTCATGTTGAGTTGAGGAGATAGAAGTTAGAATTAATGGTGTTTGCAGTGGGTTCAATCTGTGACTACAGAAAGAAAGGTATACAGAGCAGAAGATCTGGAAATATTTTACATCATTTCAATCTTTTTACATTTATTGGGAGTTGCTTTATGACCCAGTATATTATATATCCTGGAAAATGTTCTATGTGCATTTGAGAAAATAAATATTCTACTGCTGTTGAGTGAAATATTCTATACATATCTGTTAGGTCTGGTTGGTGTATAATGTTGTTCAGGTCTATTTTCTGTTTTTATACTAGGCCTAGTTATCTATCCATTATTTAAAGTTAAGGATTAAAATCCCTAAAAATCATTGTTTAATTATCTGTTTCTTCTTTTGATTCAGTTACTTCACAGAATGTGAGATTCCATCATTAGGTGAACTGATATTTGTAATTGTTATATTATGTAGAACACTGTTTACTTCATTATTATTCAGTATCCCACTTTATCCCTAGTAACATTTTTTCTTATGAAGTCTATTTTTTTTTATATAAGCCACTCAGGTTTTCCCTTAATTGTTGTTTCCTTAATATATGTTTTTCCAACCTTTTCCTTTTAATCTCTTTGCAACTTTGGATTTTGTTTCTTATAGAAATCACCTAATGGCATTGTTTTATTTTTTTAATCCAGTCTGAGAATTTTTATCTTATGATTAGATTGCTTAATCCATTCACATTTAACATCATTGTTGATATAGTTCGATTTATGTCTGTCATTTTACTTTTTGTTTCTCTATACCTCATATCTTTTTCTTCCTTTATACATCCATTATTCCTTTATTTTCCATGAAATGAATATTTTTTTAGTGTAACAAATTGTTTTAATGGTTTGTTTTACTATATTTTTGAGTTATTTTCATACTAGTGACTCTAGGGCTTACTATGTAAAACTTATTGGAGACTATTTTAGCATCACACTGATTTAATTCCACTGAGGTATAGAATTACTACTCTTAAATAGCTCTATAACTTCTTCCCACTTTTTGCTATTATTATATGTAGAATACTTAAATATAACAGCAATATATAGTCACAGGTAATTCTTTATATAACTTTATATATATTAAATAATCTGAAAAAGAAAAGAAGTAATTAGATACTTACAGTTTGTCATACTTACCTTATTATTAACCTTTTGTGGTTTTCTTCATTTTTCCTCTGATATTGAATTACCATGTAAGCTGTCATTTTATTACTTCAGTACAAAATTGCTCTCACACACCTCCTTTGTACTATTATTGTCAAATATATCACCTTTCTGTATGTCATAGACCTGTAATACACCTATATAAATACGGTATACAAGTGCTTCTTAAATCAGTTAAAGGCAGAAAGAAAATAAGTTTCATTTATAGTCTTTTATAATTATGTGATAACTTTTATGTTTTCTTTCTTACTGTGGATTCAAATTTCCATCTGTAGTCACTTTCTCTCAACCTGAAAATCTTCTAATATTACTGGTAAGGCGGGTCTACTAGCAATGAAATCTGTCAGGGTTTATTTGTCTTAGAATATATTTATTTTGTGTTTATTTTTGAAGAAGTATTTTTGTTATACATGGGATTCTTGTTTGAGAATTTTTTACTGTCAGCACTTTGAATATGTTATCTCTGCTAGACTAGACTGCTTTCTAATCTCCAAGGTTTCCAATGAGAAAATGGCTATTAATGTTAACTAGTGTTTCCTTGCATATCATGAATTATTTTTTCTCTTGTTGCTCTTACATTTTTTTGTCTCTGTCATTATGTCACTTTTGCTGTAGGGCATCTGGGTGTGGATCTCCTTGAGTTCAACCTACTTGAAGTTTGGTAAGTTTCGTAGATGTATAGATTAACATTCTTATAATCAAATTATGAAAGTTTTCAGCTATTTTGTGAAATATTTTTTCTGCTAATTTATCTTTATCCTGTTCTTCTGGTACCCCCATAAAGTGTATGTTCATGTGTTTAAGGGTGTCTCACGTTTGTCTGAAAATGTTAAATTATCTTCATTTTTGTCTTTCTCTGTACTTCAGATTATATAATCTCTATAGACTTATTTTCAAGTTTGTATATTAGTCCTTTCTCACACTGCTATAAAGAAATTCCCAAGACTGTATAATTTATAAAGTAAAGAGGTTTCATTGGTGTATAGTTCCGCAGACTGTACAGAAAGCATGGTAGCATCTCCTTGGCTTCTGGGGACGCCTCAGAATATTTACAATCATGGCAGAAGGTGGAGGGGAAGCCAGCACTTCACATGGTCAGAGTAGAAGAAAGAGAGGGTGAGGGGGAGGTTCCACACACTTTTAAATAATCAGATCTCATGAGAACTCACTCACTATTAGGAGAACAGCACTAAGGGAATGGTGCTAAACCGTTCATGAGAAACTGCCTTTATGATCCAATCACCTCCCTCCAGGCCCCACCTCTAACATTTGGGATTAGAATTAGACATGAGATTTGGGCAGAGACACAAATCCAAACTGTATGAGTTTCTTAATTCTTTCTTCTGTCAAGTCTGTTGTTGAGACTCTCTGATGAATTTTTTATTTCAGTAATTATACATCTTAACTCTAGAATTTTTACTTGATTCTTTTGTTATAATTTCTGATTATTTATTGATATTCTGTATTTGGTGAGACATTGTCAGTATAGCTTCTATTACTTATTTAAGCATAATTTTATTTCACTTTTCTTGAAAATTCTAAATTGTAGGTATGTAATATAGCAACTATGTTTACTTACTCTCTTCCTCACTGTGTTTCCTCCACCCCCAGGCTCTTTTGATCCTTGTTCTTTGCCTTTTTATTAGTTTTGTGATTTGTCTGGGCTATTTTAGTGAAGTATGTTATCATGTAGTCTGCAGCCTTTCTTTTCTGTCCTGAGAGGTCACAACATTGGGCATGTGCACAATCACTCTGAGATAGTGATAATCTTTTTTTTTTTTTTTTTTCACATAAGGAAGCATTTATTTGAAGTTTAACATGAAATGATACAAATAAAATGTGTATAAACAAATCCACATTGAGTCATAACACAGATAGCAAAGGACAAAGTAAAAGCAAAGAAAACTAATTGGCAGCTATATACAGTTGGACACAATCGTGTCTTGTACACTAGAAAGTCTTTTACAAAATAATCATCTTAGATCAACAGAAGACCAATCTTCAATGTCGTCCTGCAAGATGGGTTACTTTAACATCTCCTCCTGTTTTCTCCAATGTTCTCCTTTAGTATGGCTGGTAATTGTTTTGGTGATTGCCACCCCCTCGAGATGCCTTGCCATAAGTGCTCTGTTGACCACTGTAGTCTGCATATCACTGTCCATATCCATAGTTCCCATAGTTATACCCAGTATAATCATATCTGCCATAGCCACTATAGTTTTGATCACCACCATAGGCACTGTTGTAATTTCCATATCCTTGATCATAATAGTTATTAAATCCTTGGTTCCAGTTTTGGCCCTGACCTCGGCCATGACCCCTCGTACCACCTCGGCCACCAGCCGCAGCACCTCTTCCACCTTTTTGTTGTTGCTGTTGCTGCCTATATACCTCTTTGGGTTGTGCAACTTTGATTTCACACTATAAACAAATTAAAAAACACGAAAATAGAATTTTTACTCGAGTTCTAAAATTTAATCATTTTATTTTTCTCAAACACATTGAGAAATTTCAAAAACTAAAAGATAAAAAAATAAAAAAGAAAAAAGAAATCCTTAAAATTTTCATTTGAAGTACTTAAATGGCTTTACCTTCCCAGAACCAATTTGATGGTCTCTGCTTTCTAACAATTTTTTTACTGGCTCTTCATCGGTGTATGTGATAAAACAAAATCCTCTTCTCTCATTTGTTTTTGTATCCATGGGAAGTTCAATATTTTCAATCTCTCCAAAGGCTCCAAAATATTCTTTAATTTGTTCTTCAGAAGTATCCGGGCTCAATCCACCCACAAAAACCTTTTTGGGGGGTTCTTTCCCTTTTAAAGCTTTGGCCCTTTTGGGATCTATCAATTTGCCATCCAGTTTGTGTTCTTTCAGTTCCAAAACCTTATCAACACTAGCAGCATCTTTGAAAAGCACAAATCCAAATCCTCTTGATCTCCCAGTGACTGGATCTGTTTTAATTGTGCAGTCTACAACTTCCCCAAATCGAGACAAATACTCTGTCAGATCTTTTTTGCTTGTATCCCAGCTCAAGCCTCCAATAAACATTTTACCTTCATCCTGCTGATTCTTGCTCGCGTTTATCTTGGATCCCTCTGCGAATTCTTCTATGTTGCTGTACTCGCTCATATCCTCCATAGTGGCGGAGCTGTCGGCAGGGGGGTGCTGGCGCGCAGTCCGGGTCGCGGCAGCAGCGGCGGCGGAGCGTTGTATGGAGCTGGATTTAAAATGGCGGCGGAAGAGCGATAGTGATAATCTTAGCAGCGCTCTGCTCAATTGCCTCTTTTTCTGGTCTCTATGTTAAGCTGTCTGCCTCAATTAATATACCACCCACTTGTTAGGCTGCTCTCATTACAGGCTGATTGCTCTATTGATTTTGACAAACGTCTTGGTCATAAAATACTCCATCATCTGAACTAGTTAAAAAGAGACTAAGGTAATTTTTTAGAGAATATAAATAAAAAAACATGCATACATGCACACAAAAACTAATGGATATTATGGAGTTGAAATTACAATAAGTACATTAAAACATTAAAGAAAAATAACAGCAGATTTGAGCTGGCAGAAAGATAATTGGTCCCCTTGAAGACAAATACTTTTAGCTTATCCCATCTAAGATACAGAAAGAAAAATGAATAAAGAGAAACTAAACAGAGCCTCAGAGTCCTGTGGGACAACATAAACATAATGGGAATCAAAAGAAGAAGAGACAGAGAAAAGGATAGAGAGAATATTTGAAGAAATCATGGTCAAAAACTTCTGGAGTTTAATGAAATAAATTACTCTACATAGCCAAGAAGTGCAAACATCTCCAAATAGAAAAAATAAAATCCTCAAGGACATTTAAATTTAGACACAAAACCAAACTGTTGAAAGACAAAGAAAGAATATAGAATGCAGCAAGAGAAAAACAACTCATCACATGAAAAGGTATCCTCAATAAGATTAACAGCAGATTTCTTATCAGAACTTTGGAGAACAGAAGAGAGTAAGATGACATAGTCAAAGTACTGAAAGCAAACAGCAAACCAGTAGATCTATATCCAGCAAATTACATTTTAAAAATAACAAAGACATTTATATATTCCAAAAAAATTAAAAACTGAGATAATTCATAAATAGCCAATTATCTTTAAGAAATATCAAAGGGAGACCTTCAGTCTGAAACGATAAGACATTAAATAGTAACTCAAATTCACATGGAGAAATAAATAACACTGGTAAGACGACCAAATAGGTTAATAAGAAAAAAAAGTATAAATATACTTTTTTTGTAACATTATTTCCCTTATCTTAAGCACAACTGTATAAAGCAGTAATTATATATCAATTTTAACAAACACACAGTGCATTAATATGCAATCATATGAGAACAGTACAAAAGAGAGGGGGGATAACAGAGTTATAGAAGAGAAATTGAGTTAGTGTTAATCAAAACTAGATTGTTGTAAGTTAATATACTCACTCCAATAATCCGCAGAGAAACTACTAAGGAAATAACTCAAAAATAGAGTTGAAAAAATGGCAAAAAATTAAAACATTATAGATGAAAATACCTATTTAATACAAAAAAAAAAGGCAGTAATGAAGGGAGAGAGGAACAAAAAGATTTAACATACAGAAAATAACAGCAAATAGTAGACTTAAGTCTGAAACGTTTATTAAATGGTAAATGTGAATTGAGTACTCTAAAAGGGAGAGATCGGCAGAATGGATAAAAACAAAAATACTGGTACATTTATATGCTGTCTACACAGACACACTTTAAATTCAAGCAAAACTAGGTTGAAAGTAAAAGGATAGGAAAAGAAATGGCATGCAAACAGTACTGAAATGATAGCTGCAGTAATTACGTTAATATCAGACAAAATAAAGTTTAAGATAAAATGTTACCAGAGATACAAAAAGTCATTTCATAGTTGTAGAAAGTTTAATCCATCAAACAATTATAAACACATGTTCACCTAACACCAGAGTTGCAAAATACATAAAGTAAAACCTGACATAATTGAGGGTAGAAATAGACAATTCAAGAAGAATTGTTGGAGATTCCAATATTCCACTTCTAATAAAGGACAGAACTAGAAAGAAGTTCAACGATGAAATAGAAGATGAGGACAACATTCTAAAAAACCTAAAACTAACATATCTATAGAATCCCTTATGCAACAAGTGGAGCATCCACTTTCTACTTAAGTGCATGTCGTGTATTGTACAGAATAGGCCACATATAAAGCCACAAAACAAGTCTCAATAAATTTAAAAGCACTGACATAATATAAAGGATGTTCTCCAATCACAAAAGATTGAAATTAAAAATAAATAATAGAAGAAAATTTGAGAAATTCACAAACACCTAAAAATTAAATGACACACTACTAAATAACCAATGGGTCCAGGAATAAATTCCAAGATGATGAATGAAAATGTAAATACAGCATACCAATATGTATGAGATGAAACGAAACAGTGCTTTAGAGGGTGTATTAGTTTCCTAGGACTGCTGTAACAAAATATCATAAATTGGGTGGCTTAAAACAACAGAATTTATTATCTCCCAGTTATCGAGGCTAGAAGTCAGAAATGTAGGTATTGGCAGAGATGTTCTCCCTCTGAAACCTGTAAGAGAATCCTTTCCTGCCTCTTCCTAGCTTCTGGTGGTTAGCTGGAAGTCTTTGGCATTTTTTGGCTTGCAGACACAAAATTCTCATCTATCTTCACGTGGCATTTTCTCTATATGCCTTCATATCATTTTCATTCTGCATATGTCATCATTATTTTATAAGTAAACTAGTCATATTGAATTAAGGCATCCTAAATGAATTAATCTTCATGAAATCTGAAAGTTACTTATTTCCAAATTAAGATGAAATTTAAAGGCATTAAGATTTATGACTTCAAAATATCTTTTTGAAGGGAAAAAGTTCAACACACAGCTGAGGAAATTTATAGTTGTAATGCCTACATCAAGAAAGAATTATTTCAAATTAATAATGTAAACTTCTACATTAAGAAAATAGAAAAAAATGAACTAAACCCAAAGGAAGCCGGAGAAAGTACACAATAAAGGTTTAAAAAGAAATAAATCAAATAGAGAATAGGAAGGTAGTAGAAAGAAACAATAAAACTAAAAGTTTTTTTTTTTTTTTTGAACAAGTAAACAATCTTGACAAACATTTAACGACACTGACCAAGAAAAAAGACAGAGTACTCAAATTAATAAAATCAGGAAAAAAAGAAGTGACGTTACCACCAATCTTACAGAAAGAAGAGTAATTAAAGAAAATATTATGAACAACCGTATTGCAAAAAAAAAAAAACAATTAGGTAACTTGATGAAGTGGAAATTTTTATATAAAGACAAGAACTGTAGAGACTTATTCAAGAAGAAATGGAAAATCTGACTATATTCTTTAATAAGTAAAGACACCAAGTTATTAATAAACATATTTTCCACAAAGAGCAACCTAGGCCTGGATGGCTTTATTGGTGAATTGTAGCAAATGAAGAACTAACTCAACTTAAAAAAAACAAAAGAAACTTTTGGTAAAATAAAAGAGGATGCAACACAACCCAACTCATTCTTTTAGGCTAATGTTACCCTGATGCCAAAATCAGACAGAGATTGTCTTATTCAGTTTGCTCTGCTATAAAAAATATAACATAGACTGGGCAGATTAAACCATGGACATTTTTTTCTCACAATTCTGTAGGCTGGGAAGTTTAAGATCAAAGTGTCTGTAGATCTTATGTCTAAGAATAAACCATTTTCTTATTTGCAGATTGCAATCTTCTCATTGTATCTACATAGTGAAGAACAGAAAAATTAAGAGCAGGTGCTCCTCTCTCTTCTTGTAAGAGCACAAATCTCATTCATGAGGGCTACACCGTCATGAACTAATTGCCTTCTGTCTAAGTTCACTTAGGCTGCTATAACAAAATAACTTACATTTGATAATTTATTTAAGAATGCAGGCATGTATTACTCACTGTTCTGAAGGCTGGGAAGTTCAAGATCCACGCACCGGTCGATTCAATGTCTTGTCAGATCTCACTCTCTGCTGTGAAGATGGCACCTTATAGCTTTGTCCTTACATGAAAACGAAGTGAAGAAGCTCTATCAGGCCTCTTCTATAAGGGTGCTAATCCCATTCATGAGGGCAGATCTAATCACCTCCCAAAGACCCAACCTGTGAATACTATTGGGAATTAGGTTTCAAAATATAAACTTTGTGGGGGGACACATTTAGACTATAACATTCTGCACCTGACCCACCAAATTTATTTTCTTCTCATATAAAAATATATTTCTTACATCCCAATAACTCTGTAAGTCTTAACTTATTTTAGCATCAACTGAAAATGTAACGTCCAGAGTATCATCTCAATATCATCTAAATTGGATATGAGTGAGACTTAAGGTACCAAATTAGGCAAATGGCTTTCTAACTGCAAATTTGTGAAATCAAGCAAGTTATGTGCCTCCAAAACACAGAGGGACAGGCATAGGACAGACGTTCCAATTCCAAAAGAGAGAAATAGGAAAAAAGAAAAGAGTGACAGGTTCTGATCAAGCTCAAAACCCAACAGGGCAAACAACATTACATTTCAAAGCTTGAAAATAATCTTCTTTGACTTAATGTCTCACCTTCCAGACAGACTTAGGCTGAGATGAGGTCCTCAAGTGTCCAATAGGCACCACTATCATGTATTTGCTGGGTCCAGCCCATATGGAAGCTCTAATGTGTTGAGGTTGTATGCCTGCTGCTCTCGCAGGCTATAGTTACATGCTGGTGGCTCTACAAGTGTGAGGTTTCAAGTGTAGCCCTACCTCTATGGCTCCACCAGGTCTTACCATAGTTGGGACTCTCTTTGATGTCCCTGACCCCATGGTTTTGCTGGGCATGGCTTTAGTGGCGGTACTGTGGTGACTGTGACCCTGTGGTAATCCTCTGTCCATTCCCCAAGGATCTCCAGGGTATCCTTTGAAATCTAAGTGAAGGTAGCCATGCCTCTACAGCTTGTGCACTTTGCCTGCCTGTGGAAATGATGCTGTATGGACACCACAATGGTTTGCCACCTATGCCTTGTAAAGGGGTGGCCCAAGTCACCCCTGGGCCCATTTGAACCACAAGTGGGCTTGCCAAGGAGTACCACATCAGAATGTTGAGAGCAGAGCCTTGAAATTATTCAGTCCCCAAGGCCCTGGAATTCTGGGCCTGTGATGAGCGGGGTAG